TTTCTTCTCTGCCTTTTGCCTTCCAGGAAATGTTGCAAGATGAACGGCCAGCATTATGGCTCCCATGTCAGTGCTACTCCCGACAAGTCCCCCACGCGAAGAGCAACTGGCAAGCAAAACCTGCTTAACATCAGTGGCACTCCTGTGGTTGGAGGCGACTTCCAAAAACGTCCCCGGGCCAATCATCAATGACATCATCGGAGCCCACCAAACTGAGACGCACCCATACGCGCATGCACTTGCACACATAGCGTCAAAACTCAACAAGTAAGCACGGGGCATACATGCAAGATCGCTTGATCACAAACATATTCAGAGAACACAGTAAGCAAAGTCTGAATCGGAATCTTTAGCAAAAACATCAACGGGACAACGGACAGGATTTTCTCAGAAACGTTCAGAGTTCTTGCACAGCACAAAAGAAAAATGATGCTGCAAAGGTAATGGCTTCCCAAACAAAAGACTCACAAATAAAGTTAAAAAAATGCTTCGGGGGTATTCCCTCCTCCAAGCTGCCAAGTGCGAAATCAACTGTTTAATGGCAAAACAAACTCTCGTCAGCGGGTTTGTTTGGGCCTGAGTTTCAGAAGCAAAGAAAGGCCAGCAAGTTTGTTTGGCTTCGCAGTTTCCTGAGCAATTCTGTCTGGGTCTGTCACCAACCACGTCGGGCAGGTTGGACCAGGTCCAGACCTAGTCCACCCTACCGGCTGTGGTGCAGACCCGGTACCACGCAATGGACGTGTGGTCTGCCTGGCCAGAAAATGGCCTCTGTTGGCTGCCAAGGGCCCAGCACCCGAGCAGGGGGGAGTTAGACGTCGCAAAGATAGAGCTGGTAAACCAGTGCAGGGCTCAAACGTGCATAGAGAGGAATAGAGAGATGGTAAATGGAAGGCCCAAAATTCGTGGTTAATGACACCACCTTTTAACCATTAGTGGCGGAGTAAGGATCACAATTGGTAGTGGAGATATAGACACGCAATCGAGAACTGACAGGCTATCTTGACCCTGAAAGGGTCATACTTGCCAGTAAGCTATCAGGCCGACGTCTTCCCCCAACATAATGCAGCTTCGCCGTGACTGTTTTGGTTTGCAAATATAGCTTGTATGCATTCATGATTGGTGCGTTGTGTGTGGGGGAAGAATCCGGAAGATGGAGAGTCATTGGAGACCAAGCCAGGAGCAAAGAGTAACCAAGAAGAGTATGGCAAAGACTCAGGATCTCTTGGCACTAACGAGTTCAATTGAATTGTGACGTCTGAAGTAATTGGTATTGGTATTGAGAAAATGCTTTCAATTAGGCAGCCACTCTATGCAAGATAAGTTGATTTTGAAATGGCTGGAGAGGCTGAAGAGGCTCAGGGAGGCAGTCGACCCTCTCTGGTGCCCCCCAGAGAAGGTTCAAATTAGCCAAGAGGATAGCCTGTAGCTACATTACAACCACTGCTAGGATCGATCGACCCTGCCATTATCTGACTTTGCTGTCTGATTCTATCTGAACTTGTACTGAATGATGTAATTTTGAACAAGGACGCTGGACCCGGTTTCCCGCAGTTGCAGCTCCCCACAAATAGAAAGGAGCCATCTGACAGAGGATACCACAGCCTCCACAGGGGGATGCTCATATTGCCCTCTGCGGCACTCCCCGAGGATGTTAAAAAAAAAGAAAAAAAGAAGGTATTGCTATTCATCTGGTATGGTTTTCAATTAGCTGGTGGAAAAGGGACTGGAATGTGCCCCAAGATGATGAAGGGAGCTCCCAAAGGGCTCTTAAACCCTCAGAGCCAATAAGACTTTATCTTGCGCTCTGAAAAGTTTCCCATGGAGTATGTCTGTTGGAGCGGTCACAGGACTGTACGTGAAAAGCACAGCCTACTTGTGCATCGCTGCAAGTTTTGGTGGCGCTGGTGATTCAAAGAGTCCTCAAATTTGCAGAAATTTTAGTTTCTTTAATTGCTCTGAAATTCTGAATCATACTGAATGCCATTTCTGAGTTTCAGTAAACCATGAAGGGAGACTCCTTCACCCGAATACAACATACGGTATTTATTGCTGTATTTAGACTGAAAGATACATCAAATAGAGCTTAATGCCCGTACGTTGTATTCGGATGAAGAAGGTGGAAGAACTTGTTAAGCTTGGACATCTCTCTGAAGGATTATGAAAATTGAAAGCTTGGGCATTCGATTTTCAATTTGGCTAAGATCAAGTGTAGTATCTGTTCTGATCAGTTTAATACTT